AAATCTATACAAAAGCAAGAGGATTTTTGCGACGGCTCCAAATGAATGCCTGCAAGAGGAGAAGGGCAGGGAGGAAAAACTCTATCTGGATAGAAAGGCTGCTCCTGGGATAAAGGGTGCTCTGTGGAAAATCCTCATTTTTTTTCTTATCTTCCCTCCTGATGCCCAGCAGCAGTTTTTCTAGTCTTTCAAATCATCCTTTATACCACCAGCTGGCAGAAACCTCTTTGCCAGGGGTATCTGCAGGATTGATTGATTAATTACATGCCATCAAGTTGTTGTTGACCACGTAGATAGATCTTCTCCAAGATGATCTGTCCCTAACCTGGTCCTTCAGGCCTTCTAACGGTGCACATATTGCTATTGTAACTGAGTCCCTCCACCTTGCTGCTGGTCATCCTCTTCTTCTCTTCCCTTCCACCTTTCCCCACATTACAGCCTTCTCCAGAGAGTTACATACATCTTCACATAAGTAGAAGTAGTTCCAAAGTAGTAAGAAGTTCCAAAGTAGGCTAATTGTAAAATATGTCCACAGGGTGGCCACGATGGTGAGACTCAAGCTGTGCCTGTGGTTGATGTGCACTGCATGCAACATACCTAAAAAACAGGTGGAGCTTCAATCACACTGTGGTGGCTGCCATTTGACTTTTTTGACTACACCCTGCAAACAGCCCTGCTCTTTGCCATTATATCAGAAAATCTGAAGAACTATACATGCCTGGGAAATGAAATTCTGCTTTCATTATAAAAGAGGTATAGAATTGAAAGAAGAAGTCTGCCTGTTTAGTTGCTTCTGCCTTAACTCCTGCTTTTAGCAGTTGAAGTAGGGTTGCTTGCTATAGTTAGGTACTTTAAATCCAAGCAGAGATGTTGCAGAGGGGGGCTTCTAATTTTCTTGCCATCCCTTCCTAGGTGCTTCTTCTGACTTGGGGTCAAGCTTCACCCAGATATACTTGTGTGTTGCATGCAATATGAAGCCATTGCTGATTACATTTCCCTTTGTGTTCTTTTCATGAAGAATGGTGAGACTGACCTTGTGAAGCACACAGAGAAGCTTTGCAGACAGTTCTAAGCTTGATTACTGAAGCCTGGCTTGCTGAATTCAATGGGACCTCTTGATAAATATGCCGACGGTTGCAGTCTTAACCCCCAGCTCATGACTGTTCCTGAACACAAAGAACATTATTCAGGATCCAGTTAATACAATTAGAAGTTAGATCTGGCTATGCAGCACATTTAATGCTAATTTCAACTGGCCATATAATAACATAGTTGTCTTGATCAGTTTTCAGTCTTCAGTAAAGAATATAGACAAGTGTATGTGGAAGGTATTTCATTTCTCAATGTTCATTTTTAGAGATAAAAAAAAGTTATACATATTTTAAAAAATTGTTCCAAAGGGAACATATCCTCACAGATCAAGGAGTTTTCTCCACTAGCCGATTTAGCTATTTTGAATCTGTTCATTATTCAAACAAAGGAAAAAAAGGTTGCTGGCAAAAAGAGGAACAATAAGCAAAGAATGTTCATATTGTTTGTTAGCATTCCATTATATTGTTAAACATGTGCTTGAATTCCAAAGATCTGAATATCGGGTTTATAATGAAATCTGTGATTTTGTTGCACAATTTATGGAAAATTATAATGCTCAAGTCTCACTTTAAGACTTATATATTTTCTTTAGAATGAAGTGTGGGGAAATGCAAAGAGACTGCAGCTGCCACACAAAAATGAAGTGGGTTTACATTATGCGTGCTGATACATGCACATGTACACGCATATAAGTACTAGATATGGTTCATGGATTCTCTGTGCTTACTTTGGAAATCTCATATTTAACAACCAAAAAACACCCTCATGATTATTTGCAGTGGATGTCAATGATTAAGTCAATTGCTTTGATGCCCATCTCTCTAAAGTACTTTTGTACAGACAGGGATTCATAATTTCAAAGATTCTTATGCTCCAGTTCTGAACAGTGAAGTTATTATAATCATTATCATTGTGCTTGTATAATACTTGAAGGCAAAACCAGAAATGCACATAATAAAACAAAAGCCACTGTGAATGGAAGTAATTCACAATATACTTAAAAAAAAAAAAATCACCGGACTTCCTGGATGGTACATCCAGTAAGATTTTTCATGTTATGGGGGCTAACTTGTTTGTCCCTTATCATAACCCTATAGCCACACTCATCGGTCACATAAATGGAAACAACGTGATAATATTCATTCTCCTTAAAATGGATATGATTTTGACTTGACACACAAATGCAGTGCAGGCATGCCCATGTTGAAGAAATATCTGTGAGCTTAGGAGCTGAAGACCTTGTCATATTTCACCAGTTGTTAAACCCAAAAGTCGAGTGGCTTACTTACATGAGTGAATGATTCATCACACATCACAGTTGCAAATTTCAGTGACTTTCTTGAGAAAGGAGGACAAAGGTTAGGATGGCCAAGCCAGATGGAATGCTGGCATGGGTAACTCACAGTGCCAGGAAAGGGGAAGGAGTGGCATCATAACAGAATGGCGTTCCTGCACTGAGAAGGCGTGCAAGCTGGAGGCTCCCTATTCCTGCATTGTAGTTTCTTGCCTCTGAGGACTGGCAAACTTTATGCCTAGAATTCCACACGTGGAGTCAGTGGGAAAAACAAGACTTGTGAATGACTTGGCAGAACGGCATGGAGACAGACATTAAAATGTTAAGGTTCTAATGCTTTGGGCCAACTGAAAGTGCTCTGTGCTTGATAAAACAGTAGCAGTATTAAAGGGTTTGAATATGTGGCTTGTTGGCATTCCCTGGCTCAGAACATTTTCTAAGAATCTTTCCCTTGTGCCTTGCAGCGATTATCTCCCGGTAACTACATGCCTTTCATACTTTATTAGTATTTTAGAGCAGTGGAATGATAGAGACGTTTGTTGAAAAATTAAGGCGAATTTACCTCTTCTCTTATGTGCTGCCAGCCTTTGTGAGGAATGAAAATAAAATGCCTTTCTGCTTTCATAGAGCTAAGTAATTGATTATGCTTTTGAATAGGCATGGAAGTATATAAAGGTATTCCTCTCTTTTCTAACTTCCAACATTAATATGATATGCAGTTTTCAAGTAGCTATTGCTGTTGTTATTATTATTATTTGCTATGCAGGAGCATTCTCCTACATTGCTGCTTCTACTAGTTGTGTTTCAATTTGATGAAGGCGAATCTTGGACAAATTTATTTTATTTAATTTGTTATATCAAGTTATATCACCACCCAAAATCACATTTGCAACTTTGAGACATTAACAAAGGATTGAAAAACCGCAATAAATATCAGGTGAAGAGCAGAAAATAGTATAAATATAAATTGTGTCTGAGGTATATAACTTAGCTCCAACAAACACACATACACGCAAAAACCATATAAAAATCACCAGGCCAGTACATTGGTTATATTGATTTATGACTGATGAGTGTGTTTTTACCCTGGCTGCTCTTTTTATGTATGTTGTTTTTCTGTTTCTTTTTCTTTCTTTTTTTTTCTGTTTCCTTCTAACATTGTTAGCCACCCAGAGTCATGAATTTGAGATGGGTAGCCATATAAATTGAAATAATCAATCAATCAGGCTCCCTGATATGTCTGGGGAAACAGCCAGGTTTTTAACTCTTTGTGAAAAGCGAGCAAGGTTGGGGCCATACGAATCTTGGGAGATACACAGTTCTAGAAACAGAGAAAGCATGCTTCCTGGGTCCTGCCAGATGGCTTTGTTTAATAGATAGGACCTGGAGCATTTCTACTCTGTCAGATCTGGTGGGATGGGCAAAAATAATTGGAGATAGGTGGTCCCGCAAATTTTCATTGGCACATTTATTTACTGAAGAGATGGTTAAGGAATACTTATGAACATTCTGTAATTCATTGTTTAGTCATATGTCCAGCAACCTGCAGACTCACCAACTTCCCACATTTCAGTTAAATCCCAAGGGAAGACATGAAGAAACTCCTCCCACTGAGCTTCCACTGTGTGAACAGCAGTCATGCAACAGAAAACATCAACAGCAGAAACACGCACCACCACATTTAACAATAAAATAAGCATAAAAACACAACCCAAAGAAATTTGAAAGGTGTTCTCGAGCACTCTGGAAATAAGAAAGAAAGCATCTTTTGCAAGGGAAGGAAATTGCTTTGTTGAGAAATTGCAAGAGGCATATTTTGGCACAGCATTGTTATTATTAACTTGCTGATTGTTTAAGACTGATAATTTGGGACAGATATGAGTCAGCTCATAGGCTGTATGTGACCCTTATGCTGATCTCTGCATCCAGCAGACTTTTCTCACAAGCCCTTGGTCACTTAGCCAGTTGATGGTGAAGAATAGATTCTTCCTATTCCTGTTAGCAGTGGAAAACAATAATCTTCAGCATAATCACTGGCTTCTCCTTTCCCGAAAACTTTTCTGGGCTCTGCAAGTGGCTTCCAGAGATGGAGAGTTGGTGCTCCTATTTCAGTTGCTGCTCTCTGTCTTTTGCCACAGCTCTGAGTGCTCCGAACAAATATCAGCTGCAGAAAATATAGGATTACATTCCCTCACAGCTACAGGACTAGGTGTTCTTTTCTGAGTGAGGAACCTGTGGTTTTAGAAAATTCAGCTTGCCTTTGGGGTGAATTTTGTTTTTAACCAAGATGTTGAAGTTCCTATCCGAGGGCAGCTCAGAAGAACTTGCTTGTGTACAAGCCTTCATTGAACAATGTCAAAACCCAAATCAGAACCCAAGCTGTTTCTTCTTCATTATTTCAGAGTGGCATCTCTTCCGGCTTAATCTGGGATGGTAGGTATCGAACCTGGCATGTTTTGCACACAGCTTATGTAGCCTGCCATTTAGCTAGGGCTATGAATAAATAATGAGTGTCAGCCAATCAATAACATGGAAGCTCTTCTGAATGTTACTTCAGTCTCTCACATCAATTATTTTTTGTTCTTTCTCTCTCACATCCTTCTACCTCGTAAAGTTTTTAAGAGTGGAACAAGACAAAGACAAAGAATGTAGTCTGGAATGCACAGGTTCCCCCCAGAAGTCCTTGTGTGCTTCAGATGGCAGGACGTTCTTGTCTCGGTGTGAATTTCAACGGGCAAAGTGCAAAGATCCTCAGCTAGACATTGCCTACAGGGGAAACTGCAAAGGTAAGGAAATTGCCGAGGTATTCTGTAGACATAATGTGGCCATTTTTTATTGTTTTAATCACAAGTCTTAAAATGTCAGCTCATTTAAAAAAAATGATACAATATGAAACACAAGGGGCAGGTAAGAAGCCAATCGCCTCAATCTGGGTTTGTAAATTATGGACCACACTGTAGCCCTGATCTTCCAGGCTCCTGACAGCTCAAATGTACATCATGTACCATTTGCTAATCACATCTCACAGAACCTGTGGCAAAATTATTGTCTGTACTGGGGAGCTGCGAACATTTAGTGTTAGTTCTCTAGATAATTATTACATTCTTTTCATAGCCAAAATTTGGGATGCAAAGAATTAAAAGTATAGGTCTCATATATAACCAATACAGCACAAAAAGAATTCAGCGGTGCCTTTCCCTAACAAAATTACTTCTGCAATGTTTATGTATAAATAAGAGTTTAATTAAGGAAGCTTTAATTCAGCATTAATTAAGCGTGCTGTGCTTGCAAGTCCTTGTTAATATGTTGCCTACTATTTGTAACAACTTGTGGAAGTAGTGGTAAAAGGACTCTTAATTACATTATGTTTTGTTCTTAAAAATATAAATGCAAGATGAAAACAACAAATTAAAGTATTCCTTCATCCATACTGATGCTGGACGTAATCAAGAAGGAGCACTAAAACAGATGGGACTTGAAAACAGGGAACTTTTAATGAAAGACACAGGAGATGTAAAAAGCTTCAGTATTTTTGCTTGGATAGGTTGGTTCTGCAGTTGTGTTTTATTCAGCCTGCCACCCAAATACAGGTTGTCCTTACTTACTGACCACTCATTCAGCAACCATCTGAAGGTGCAATGGTGCTGAATGAATGAAACATACAACTGGTCCTCGATATTCTGGCTGTTGCACCCCCCATGGTCATGTGATTGCGATCTGGGTGCTTGACAACTGGCTAGCACTTATGACAGTTGCAGCGCCCTGCAGTCATGTGATCACCATTTGTGACCTTCCCTACTGGCTTCCCACAAGCAAAGTCACAGGGGAATCCAGCATGGAAGGTCGCAAGTCATTCCATTAAGTCCCTCTGCCTCGCAATACCCACCCCCGGCCCCGCCATGCTCGCACCGTGCCTCATTGGCCACCTGCACACTCTCCCCCACCTGGCAACACCTGGTGCCTGAAATTCCTTGCACACTCTCCTTCACCCACTTCCTGCCTGCCAGGGACTTGCAACTTCCTGCTGGCTTCCTCACTGACTTTGCTGATGGGAAGCCAGCAGGAAGTTGCGAGGAGGTCCTCGCTTAAGGACCCACAATCCTCGTTTAATGACAGCAACAGGGATTGCTGGGATTGCCGTCACTAAACAATGTGGTTACAGATGTCATGTGTTATGACTGCATTGCTCAGTGATGGAAATTCTGATCCCGATTACCATTGTTAAGTGAGGACTGCCTGTAGCACAAAATAGGGACTGAAGAAATAGGACATGAAAAACACTGGCCTGTCTGTAATGTTTTGACAGCACTATAATACCATCTTGATTTTCCATAAAGAGTGAGTAAACAAAGAATAGTGAAAAAGGCTAGAGTAGAAGCAATCAGAACTGAAATACTCCTACATTTTAAATAACTTGTTGGCATATAGGAAAAATGTTTGAAATAATAGTACAGCAACCAATTCCTATGCACATTTTTTCTATCCTTCTATCTTGCTCAGATATTCATGATTGTGCTTTGCGTTTCTAGTTAATCTGAAGGATGCTTTGGCTAATAGGAACTGAACAGGGTTTTGTATCGTTTGCCCAAGGAAAAAGTTGAGAAGCTTCTCAACTTAACTGCAGGGTTTGATTTTCAGCACAATACCATCCTTCTTTATACATAAATACCAGCGATCACAAAGGTTTACCTTCAGTTACACTTTATTGAGAAAGAAAGTGAGAGAAGGAGAGAGACCACACAGAAACATCCTTAGGAGACAGTTTTGTGCATTGTGCATTCCTCATTTCTCTTAGCTTCAAAAAGCCTCTAAAGCACCAAGAATTCTTTAAAGAGACATTCTGTCTCATCCTTGTTCTGGCCTTAAAAAAAGCACTCTATAATGCTTTTTTTTTTTTTTTTGGATTGTCTAATTGGCTCTACCTTTGTCTATGCTCAGCAGTGATAAAAATCCTCACTGAGCTTTGAAATCCAAACTCCTATTATTTTCTGTGATAATACAAAGGAGATCTTTTAACAACCACAGAATGGCTTTGCCCAGCCTGGTGCCCATGTTCTTAGCCATATTATTGTGAGATTATAAGCATTGAGATCCAACACATCTGGACAGCAATGAGCTGAAAAAGGTTGACTTTTGACCATAAAGAACTTCTAGGATTGTCCTATATAAAATGATGCCAAAAACAATACAAGTAATTAATTGCATCGTAAGTCCCATGGGGGACGCTTGGGGGGGGGGGTTCAGGGGCCACATTATAAGATACTTTCTTTTTCTTTCTTTTCTTCCTTTCTTTCACTCTGAGGTGGTGGGCGAAATTTTTCAACCTTTTCTGGAGTTTGATGGATGTGTTAAGCCTGGCAGAATTCTGGCTACATGATATGGGAGTGTTTTGGGGTCACACATGTATTAAAGTAAGTAGCCTGCTCCAAGAACATACTCCACATACCAGTTTGTTTGGCTCAGCATCTAAGTATCAGTAACTGTGAGACTGTCAAAGGAGAACTTTTCCTTTAAAATTTTCCTTACTTCTTCCCTTTAAAATTTTCTTCACATCTTCCCTTTAAATCATATTAAGCAAAGTAGCTGTCTTGTTAAGATTTACCTCTCTGTTCTCTTTCTTTCTTGCTAGTAGCATGGTCTGTTAATTAGACTAAGCAATCCTCTTACCTGGGGAAGGCTCTTTGGATGATACTGCAAATGAATTAGTTCCCTCATGTGTACGGGAGCTTCCTATCCATTCTCTGCAATGGGTCCTGGACTCTTATCCTCAAATTTTGCCCTGAAAGCACCAATACTCTCTGTAATCCACTGACCTTCATGCTATCCACAGCTTCTTTGTCATTTTCCATCCACATCACTGCTTCATCTTGCAACCCTTTCTTCCTCCAGATAAACTTCTGCAAGTAATCAAAGGTTGTTATTATTATTGTTGGTTGCACAGTCAGACAGACGTTTAGATTGGATTTGGCATTTTTACCCACCTATCAAATCTTTCCCAAGGACCTGGGATAGGCAGACGTTATCATTTAATGGAGATAAAGGTATTGTCACAGGATT